TGATCACTTGAGATGTTTGTAACACAATGGGCAGTAAACACAAGACCTATTCATCATTCTCCTGCCAGTTACAGCCAAAGTGGCCTTTCATGCCACCAGTAGACACAAACTCCATGGGGGGATCCTGCCAACTGCAGCATCTGCTTCTAGTCCCTCATCTTCTCATGCTGCTGGTGGACAGCAACATCCCAGGAGTGACTGATGTTGTTGGGGGCTGCCCTCCTCCAGTACCCATCAATCTATTTTTGAGTTCTTGACACTCACACACTTTTCTTTTAACCCTTTTTTGTCCTCTGTAATCTCTTGTTCTCCTTGTATTTCTTTTTTCCTCCAGCCCTTTCTGCTCAGAGGGGTTGAGGGTTTGGTTACGGTTGGGTTAGCACCTGCCTCTAAAGAGGGAAAGACAACTGATGTGGTTTAAACAGGACTTAATTAAAACTTTTTAGCTCCTTCCTGCATGGTCTAGTGGGAGCTTATGTGCTCACTGCATCACTGAGAAATACTTGAAGAATAATTGGCCCCAGGAGAGTCATATACTGGTGCCTTGAGATTCCCTCTTCACATTGAGTAGTTCCCTTTGTTATCTTCCCACTGCTGATGTTAACCAGCAGAACAAGCACTGAACTGGAATGTTTCTGGAATATTTTTCTTTGCCAATCCCTTTTTCCTGTCTGTCTTTTCAGGGATTTTTTTTGGTGAGAAATATTCTCACAATGCTCTGAGCAAGGAGAGAATGTGGAGGTGAACCTTGCACTCTTCAGAATCTTTGTGCTGTAAATTTGGATCAAAACTGTAGGTAAGAATTGAGTCTCCAAAGAAAACTGTGGCCATCTCTGCTATAGCCTGGCGTACCTCTGTAGTGCAGAGATGTCACTTTTGGTTCAGAACTGCTGCACTGGTGAAAAGCTGTGTGGGCAAATCAGTCCCCTTTTTTTCCCTCAGTACACTTTGTTTTTCTCATATAATGGTGGAACTACAAAACAAAGGGCCCTACCTGGAGGGCTTTGCTGCTTGGAGCACATAGAATCATAGTCACAGAATCAACTGGGTTGGAAAAGCCCTCCGAGACCATCAAGTCCAACTCTTGATCCAACACCGCCGTGGTTACCAGACCATGGCACTAAGTGCCACATCCAGTCTCATCTTAAAAACCTCCAGGGACGGTGAATCCACCACCTCCCTGGGCAGCCCATTCCAATGTCTCATTACTCTTTCTGTAAAAAATTTCTTCCTAATATCCAACCTAAACCTCCCCTGGCACAGCTTAAGACCATGCCCTCTTGTCCTACTGCTGGTTGCTTGGGAGAAGAGGCCAACGCCCATCTGGCTACAACCTCATGGAGTATTATCTGTGAAAATATTTCAGGCTGAGATCTTCAGTTTGCCAGGCAGAGAAGGCCTGAATCTGAAATCAAAGTTTTACTGTTGATTTAAATAAAATACTGGGGAGGTTTCATTAAGTTTAACTCTTTACTGTTTCTCTTGCAAAGCAGATCACTAAGTAGTCCAGAAGATGATGCATATTTGATTACGTTTACTGTTCTTGTGTCAATCTGGGCAAGCACTCTCATGAGAAAAACACATGTACTCTGTGGCTTAAGTATTCTAACCTAATCTCCCAATTTTTCATCTTCATTAGATTTTGGTAATCCAAAACTGTAAATGCATTAGATTTCTTGAAAAACTGTTTCCGAACAACAAAATATAAAATACAAAAAATCTCAAAAAATTGAGAACTGCGCCCACTTCGGATTATGACATTTCTTTCCTGAAGACAATGAAACTTTAGTACTTACAATCTTCTGAGTGCACTTCTAACCAGCGTACGTATTTCAGAGAACAGCACTGTTTCAGGTCACTTTATTTAAATTCTTTTGTGTCTAGGGAAAATTTTTGAAAATACTTGTGGAAGAGAAAAGGGATCTAAGATCAGAAAGGTTAGGTAGTGGTGTGCTTTATCTAATATTCTATTTACAGTAGAGGTCACTGCCAATTTGACGTTCATTGCAGAAAGAAATCCTGCAGTAGAAAATTATGGAATATATTCTCATGCTATTAAAATCTAGCTTGTGAAAATTAGCACATTCTTTGAAATCTGAGCCTTATATATCATATTAGATTTTTTGGGTTTACTTGTGTTACCTGATGTTCTTGTTACCCCAGTGAAGTTCCTATCTCTTGAATACAGCTTCAATTAAATTCTTCAGAAATGAATTCACACAGTGTGTAATTACACAGTTGAAAAAATCTATTTCCTTTTTCAGTTATAAATGCATTATCTTTTGACTAAATGGATGTTTCCTTGTTTATATCTGATGAGAAGAGGCAATTCTATTAGTTCTATCCACCTTCCCAGTTTTTTCCTGTGTACGTTCATTCCACTTCCTCATACTTATGTCTGGTTTAAAGTACAGTATTAATCTATCTTCATAACAGTATTTTTCCATGTCTAAGAGTCTTTGTCATCAGTTCTGGCCTTCTTCTATTTTTGCTATGTCATCCCTGGGGACATAAAACCTCTATAATAAATCGTAATGACAAAGTATAAATTAATTTAGCATGCATTTGCACGCAATAATCTGCTTCCTCTAAGACTCTTCGTATTTCTTGAGCTGACTTACAGTTCATTCAACCAGCTGTCAATTTTTTTAATAAATGTATTTTCAAAAGTATTTTGCTTTTGTGTCTCATAATTTTCTTCTGACCAAAGGCCCCATTGAATACGTTACATGCCAAGCCACAAAGCTTTCCTATACATGTTAGTATTTCAAATCAAATTGATTCTGTTAGAGTAAGAATGGAGTTTGGTTACAGACAGAAGATTTCCTTACCCTTATAGGGGTGGACCTCACCTTTCTATTGGTAAGGCTTAAAATAGTCATACAAAAGTTAAGTGGCTTGTAAAACAGCTATATTTTACATTGTGTTTTAAATGGGAATTACACTTAAGTTCCAAGAAAGTAGTATGCAACCTTCTTCAAATTGCTCTAGAACAGATTTTCTCTAGTAAATGTGATTTACGCACACGTATATATAGAAATGAAATAAAAGTATTTCATTTGAATGAGCTTGGACATTGTGATGACTTGCAGAACTCATGTCATCCAGAATTCATATTCATAAAATATATATTACATATGTTTTAGCCTAAAGTTTTCTAGGGAACTGCTCAGAAGTATGGGGGGAAACATGAAGAAGAAAGTCTTGATCTCCCTGGACTCTGTCATTACTAGTTGCTTAACCTTCCTCCCCTTTTGCAGTTCAGAAGATACAGACCTTGTGTTGCTTATTTTTGTGAACTTTGATATGGCTATAGCTAGATGTCCACAGGAAACACCCAAGAAAGTTAAGATAAAGAGACAAAACCACACAGTATTTCTCCCCACCAATTAGAAAGGGAGAATAACTGAGATTAGACATCTAGGCATTTAACATTTCATGAGATAAACACCAGACTGGGACTCTGGCACTATCAGTGTTTGGAAAGTGAAAAGCACTTGGGGGTAGAAATGCAGAAAGGATATGTGGATACTATGGCACCCATGGTATGTTCTGGCACAGTGCTATAAAGACAGTTTTTACCATAACATGGCTAGCAATGGACCATGGCAGGAGGAGAAGGATGTCTCTCTAATGCTCGTGGTGCGTGCCTAACGCTGCTGGGAAGGGGTGAACCTCGTCTTGCTGGCAATGGTCTCCAACAGCTTGGTTACTCTCAGTACCAAGTGCAGCTAAGAAGGTTGCCAATGGTTGCGGCAGTGGTGGGTGTGTGATCTCCAGCCCAAAGTGAGTTTCATTTTGCTTATTAGAGCAGCAGTACTGCAGCTGTGTTCAGGTAGTCATAGCAAGGTTAGTCTGTCAGGGAAGAGTGACAGACACCTTGCATGAGATACTGACTGTGGCACAGATGAGTGAGAGATGCCACGAACAGCAACAGGGATTTGAAAGGCAAATGCTGAGAGCTGTTGGGATAGATTTGGTACCTGAAACCATTACCCAGAGAAGGTCAACGAAGCTGGTGGAGGGTCTGGAGCACAAATATTATGAGGAGCAGCTGAGGGAGCTGGTGTTGTTTAGCTTGGGGAAGAAAAGGCTCAGGGGTGACCTTACTGCTCTCTACAACTACATTAAAGGAGCCTGTAGCCAGGTAGGGGTCAGCCGCTCCTCGCAGGCAGCTAGCAACAGGACAAGAAGACACAGTCTTAAGCTGCACCAGGAGAGGTTTAGGTTGGACATTAGGAAGAATTTCTTCACAGAAAGCGTGATTACATATTGGAATGGGCTTCCCAGGGAGGTGGTGGACTCACCGTCCCTGGAGATGTTTAAGGAAAGAGTGGATGTGGCACTTAGTGCCATGGTCTAGTTGACAGTGTGGTGTTTAGTCATAGGTCGGACTTGATGATCTCAGAGGTCTTTTCCAATCTAAGTGATTGTGTGTGATTATGTGTGTACCTGAAAGCATGGCCACATCCAAAGGTCCTGCAGCCTGGAGTCACTAAAGTATGCTAAAGTCACTAAGTGTCACGGAGTTACTTGGTATCATCTCTGTACTGCCCTTTACCTTTCCCATTTTTGCTCTCTGTCTCCTGAGCCTGGTTTAGTCCAGCAAAAGAACTCCACCCTTTTCTTTCCTGGGTGAGAGCCTGGAGTAAAAGAGCAAAGGAGAAACAAGTTTTTCAGTAGCATAATGCTTTGCCAGGTCATGAAGTGGCTGCTAAAGCCGTGTTGTCTGGCTTTACTTTCGAAACAGCTCAGTCTTCCATGGCAGTCAGAGACAAAAGCTGCATTTTCTGTTACTTTGCTCAGTCTTCTTTCCTCCAGCTCTGTTTGTGCTCCCTTAAGGGAGACGGGATCAGAGTTCAGAAGTAGAATCATCAATTTTTCCTCATAATGATATTTATAAAGATGTTCATAACATTTTAAATACTATGCAAGAAGCTTCTCAAACAGGGTTTCAGAGCCTTCCCCTGCATATAACTTAGGGATACATGACAGTGTAGTTACTTAGAGGAAGAAGCTTTGTATTTAAGTGTTGTGTGTTCTTCTTCACCCTAGGCAGATCCAGTCAGCGGATGTCCGTTTCTGAATCTGGAAAAAAAATTCTTTTGATTAGATGAATATAATTAATTTTAAAAGGAAATAATAAATTTGTAAGCCCAAAGTCTGTAGAACAGATCAGCAGAAAATAACACTCTTCTCTAAAGAACAAGAGATAGTGCTCAGCCATGCCCTGGGGTCTTGAAGACCAATAGAAAATCTGAACTGAGATTCTCACCTCTCTGAAGTCAACTGGACTGATTTTCAGTGACCGAAGTAAAGCCAAGATTTCACACCAAAGTTCAAGATCTTAGGAGAAAACCTAAGGGGGAAAAAAAAATCAAAATTAATAAAAATAAAAAAGACCAAAGGCATGTAGTTAATTTTGTGTGTATTGGGAATGCTTTGTGGATTTCTTAATGAGACTAAAACTGAGCAGAATCATAAGTATTTGTGGGATTTAAGCCTAATGGTAGAGCTGGTGTTTCAGATAATCATAAGAAAATAGCATAAAGAAGGTATTGGATTAAAATGGTAGGGTCGCATAGTGACTAATAACTTATTTGATCTTTTCAAGGTTTAAATACAGAACTCAAATCAAATAAATGGGTCGGTTACTAATTAGAGTTGCCCAAATGTGGCAAAGTAAATTAGATTATTTTTGTTTATACATTTGAAGGAATGAGAGGTTAAAGAACTAGTTACAAAACTGACTTGGTCTTCTAGGGGAAACCCATGATAAACTTGATCTGTCTTTGAGAATGTTTTTTGTCTCCTACCCTCTTGAGATTTGGTTAATATTAATGCAAGATGTGAAAGGAAATTCAGTGCTTCACATTTTAGTAGCTTTTAGTCTTGCAAGAGAAGGGATAGATAAATGAGATAAAGAAGATTTTGTTTGAAAACTTATTGCAAAACTGAAGGCTTTTACAGTCCTCCAAACACTTGTGCACTTGCTTTATGCACATTGATATAATTTTGTGAAGCTCATTTTCAAGACAGAGGGTTAAAATTGCACTGGTGTGAATTCCATGATTTCAGGTTCAAGTGAATGTGTCTTTTGTGCAGTTAGCTAATAAATTATAGTCAGCTACACAGCATTCCTAAGTCATTACAGAAATCCTCAGTCAATACAAAAGTGAGTTTGTAGTTAAAACCATGATGCCTCTGAAGTTAGCGATTATAGATAAGGACGTTTTATGACAGAAAAACTATTTTTTTCATTGATTTGCAAATCTCCACTCTGTGGGTGTCCACATGCTGGAAGTTAAAGGCAGCAGACAGCACATGGACCAGCTGGCCCGAAGGAGCTGCTGTTCCAGCCCCGGGGGGAGCCTTTTTCCGGTTAAGCAGGTAGGAGCACATTGCAGCCAAAACCACCCTCAGCAAGGCATTGCTGCTGCCAGGCCCTGAGGAGATCAGGCAGTCAAAGCAAGACTCGCAAGTCTGTCATGAGGGGTCCTTGAGGGTTATGGCCTTTCACTAGTGAAATCACAGCAATGTTAATCAAGCAGAACAACAAAAAATTGTGTTTCCCAGTTCTTTGGACATCTGACCCTAACTCATTGATCAAAATAATAGATAAAGGATGGGGATTTTAGTGGAAAAGTATCCTAGTACATCTGTCTGAAAACTAAGAACTGACGAACATAGCAGCAGGTACATAGGGCACTAAATCTGGATCATTCAGCCATAAAACTGGGAGCTCCTAGTACTCAATGGACTCCACCAGGCTTTTCCACCCTGGCTGCGGGGCTCTGCTGGACAAGGGAAGAAGGCACGTGGTCCAGGCTGCGGGGTATGGCTGTGGAGCCTGCCCTTCCTGAGAGGCACCGCGGGAGACTCGTGGGAGTTCGCTGGTCGTTACACCGGTGGGTACATGGGTGGGCAAACCGGCAGGTACCCTGCCAGGTACCCGGTGGTACGGGAATAGGTAAACTGGCAGGTAGAAGGGCAGGTACATTGGCGGGTACACGGGTGAGTAAACTGGCAGGTACACGGGCGGGTACACGGGTGGGTACGCCAGGACCATACCCAGTGATGTTGGGCCATCTATGGCGCTCTGCGGGTGCCCCTACCCCCAGAACCCAAATAGGTCCGATTTCACCTCGAAGTGCCCGGCGTTGCCCTGACGAACACCCTGCGGCCCCCGCTGCTCGGGCAGCGCCATCCGCACCCTCCACAACACCCGCCGGAGCTAGGACGGTCCTTTATCCCCGGGACCCCCTGCCGTGCCTGCGGGAGGCTGCGGGGCCAGGGCGCGGGTTCCGCCGGCGGGCCCGGTGCGGTTGCCGCGGTGATGACGGGCAGCCGCCCCTGCCCGTGCCCCCGCCCCGCAAACATGGCAGCGGCAGCGGCGGCCCCGGCGGGGAGCGGCGGCAGGTGAGGAGCGGCGTGGCGGGGAGGGGACGCGGCGCCCCGGTCCTGCCCGGCCCGGCCCTGCCCTGCCCCGCCCGCCCCGCCGCGGACGGACTGTCCGCGCTCCCGGCTCCATCGGCAGGCCGGCGGTGAGGGGCGGGCTCCCGGCGCCGCCAGCAGCTCCTCCCTCCTCCCGGCCCGGGAGCCCCCGGCGGGGTGACAGCCCTGCCGAGCGCAGCCGCCCCGGCCGGGGCTGCGGAGGCAGCGCCGCTCCCCCTCGGCCCGCTCGCTGCCGGGACCAGCGGGGCGGGAGCCGCCGCCCCCGTGCCCGCCATGTGGAAGCTCAACAAGAGCAGCAAAGTTCTGCTGGACGACTCGCCCGAGGAGGAGGAGACGCATCCCCGCGGGCCGCCGCCCGCCGCCGCCGCCGCCTTCGCGGCCCCCCAGGTAGGAGCGCGGAGCCCGGCTCGGAGGGGTCGGGAGGCTCGGCCCCACTCCCGCTGCCCTCCTCTCCGGCGGCATGAGTAATCACTTTTCCCACTTTGGATGTGCCGGCAGCCTGGCCCTGGTCGAGCTGGGGGTGTTTGCGCAGATCGTGCGACTGTCACCCGATTTTTGGGGTGCTGAGTGGCCTATCCACCTCTGTTTCCTTCCAGCAGCCGGCCTCCGGCATTGCTGGGACTTGCTGTCCTTCATTCCAGTGGCTTCATACCACAGGGTACTTTCTCTCCCGGCCCTAGCCAGGGGTACTGCAACCCATCTGTAAAGCATAATACATTAAACAGGGATGTTTAAGAACATACCTTCATTTTCGTGTTTGTGTAGAGCACTGATATTTTGGCACGATTGCTTTTTTTCTATGGTTTCAGTAATAGTAGCTGGCTATCCTTAATCAGCCGCAATGTTGTTTGAAAGCTTTCATTGTTAAATAATGAGTTAAATACCAAGTGACCTTCTCAAAGTATTGGTCGCCTAACAAATACAACCTGAAAGGAAGGGTATCCGTTGAATATCAGGCAAAACAACTGAAAAAATGTTTGTTGACTTGCTTTCAAAAACTTGGTAGCAATTAGGCATCCGTCCAGCTCAGAAGCCTGTTACGCTGCGTGGTACAGCTTTGTTGCTGAACTGATCTTCTGTTGCCACAGATTATCTTTAGATGTTGCATGAGAGGTTGCAGGACACCTGCATATCTGAAGTAAGCAGTTGCCCAGGGTTGCGAACTAGTGAGGTTTCTATTCAAAGGAAGGTACGAAAGCCCACTCAACTTCCCACCCCATGTTTGTCTTGCTTGGCTTGCTGGAAGAGCTGGAGTGTGTTTGGATAAACTACTCTCTGCTTGAGTTCCTGGTTGACAAGTACTATGGTTGTCAACATGTGTGGCTACTGCTGAAGAGCAGCCTCTCCCAGTCACAGCAGTTATTCTATCTTCCAGTACCAAAATCACCAGTTTAGTCTTGCCTTGCCTTTTCCCCTGCGCTGTAAACAGAAGAGCCCTAGCTCTTGCTACTAGTTTGATAGCAGCTGTGAAGATTCATATGGATGAATAGCATCTTCTCCTGTGGGAGAACAGTCAGTCATTTTGGAGACCCCCTTTGTGGGAGGAAGGGGGATTGTGAGGTTGGAGGCAACCTGAAGTATCTCCGACAACCTCTCATGCAACACATAACCTCTCCCTCCTACAGATCCTATCCTCAGGTGCTTGGAAACTTCCACTGTTTTCCTTAAGCTGTTAGCTTGTGCTGTTGTAGCCCTCCTAGACTTGCTTAGCTCCTGAAAATCTTCCTCAAACACCAAAGGTCACTGAAAGCTTCCAGTAAATCCGACTGACTCTTAACTACTTCTCTTCTTTACCATAAATGCTCCAAGCCCCCTTTTAGACTCTTGACTATAGCCTCCCAGTCAGAAGATGATTCTTCAGCCTTCTGTCCAGACAATTCTCCCAGTCCTCTGCCTAGCAACAGAGGCTGGAATTTGTTTTTTTACTGGTTTTGGTTTTCTTTTGTTTGTGGATTTTGTTTTTTTTTTTTTTTGTCCAGTCCAATTGTCTTTTACTATCCTGGGCTTCTGTTCCTTTAGTAGCAATCTCAAGGTATAATGGTGATGATGATTTCTGGTGCAAATGGTTTGCATTTTCATCAGTTTTAGGAAAAATCCTTTTCAAGTCCTAGGGGCGCTGGAATAAAAGAAGCTGATTTTGGTATTGGAGGTGGAAGATGAAAAATAAATTATTCTAAGTCACTAAATGAAATAGTCTTGAAAATCAAGGATTCAGTAAGGTTAGTGCAACTGTGGTGTAGCTTGGCCCAGAGAATGAAGTGAAGACCATAAGCTATTAGTTTTTTTGCCTGTTAAAATCAAAATGTCTCGAAAGAAACGCAACACTCCTCCCACAATATTTAACTGTATTTATTTTAGAGTTTATGTGCGCTTTAAGGAAGGATAGACTGTATGGACAACTATTACCACTTGATTAACTTTGTAATTCTCATGGTCAAGGCAGCTTCTAGATCAGCTATAGGTACAATGTGTCTAAAACACAGCTTAGACAGGTGTCAAGGGGAAAGTGTGAGGTAACTAAATGCACTTGTTCAGCTTGTTGTAGCTGATCTGGTTTACGTGCCCTGCTTTTAGCGTTTGACATTTTTGATGTTTCATCAGAACCTGTTCTTTCTCCCAGTAATATGATTTCAAGGCACTGAAATCCAGTAATGTGTAGGGGGATTTGGTAGTGATCTGCACTTGGCCCCTGCAGCGTCCTGATGTGCAACACCCAACTCCCTGACTTCGGAGGACAGCAACCCCATTGGAGCTTGGAGGAGTTATGGGGACAGTTCTCGTGGTACCCTAGCTGTGCATGAGAATGTCAGTCTTCCTCAGCTCTGTTGTTGCGGTACGGCCTGCTGTGAATGAAGGATTACCTTATCAAGAAGAAGAGAATCCAGGACTTCACTAATTTTTTTTTCTTTAGGGCCAGAATCCAGGTAATTAGTTTGAGTGCCTTTTAGTAAATTAAGAAGCCCAGCAATAGATTTCATGCAACAGAAAGTTGACTGTTAGATTTCATTTCCTCTAGGTTCTTTTCTGATAAATCATTTGGTAAAAGAGAAGATGAACTGGCGTCATCATATTTTGACTTTGATTTATGACATCTTGTTTTTCCCAACAACTGTCTTTTGTCTTTATTTTCAGTTTTAATAAGCAAGTGACAAGAAAATCCTTAAGCTTCTACCATTCATGCTATAAATAAGGCTGAAACTTTTTACTTCAAAGACAAGAAATTGGTAGTCTCAACTATGTCATTAAAGCAGGCCAGGTTGAAAGTATTCCAGTGTAATGAAATGTTGGTGCTGTATGTTGTTTCTTTAAAGCTGAGAAAGAGTGAAGGACTTCTCACTGTGCAACCTAATAATTAGGACATTTCATTAGCAGACAGCAACAAAGAATTAGGCTACTGTAAGTTAAAAGTAAATAAACAAAAAAAAACCTAACACAAAAAACCCCTTTGTTACTCTGGAGCAATTTTAATCATCCTATTTAGATATGGAAGCCTGATCTGGGCTTACTCAAGCAGACATTTGAATTTGTAGAAGTTCATAGTTCTTAAATAGGAAAGCTTAGTTTGATCTGTAAAGAGGAGTTTTGACAGTTCTGGTTTTGTGTTATATGGAGTGGTTTGATTTTGTTCCAGGGGAGAACAAAAACAAATTTTAGAACATGAAAATTGCAAGGGAGGGAACTGTCAGCCTCTGGCCACTTTTTAGCAAAAGTTTCTGCATATATTCAAGTACTTTGAATTGTTAACACTTATTTAAAATAGTAGGGTGTTTCCTGAGATAAGAAAGACAAGTAAATTTTGAAACAGTACTTGTGTAAATAAATGTGTTGATTATTGTATTCTTTATTTTTTTTAAACCGGACAGTTTTAGACTGAATCTTAGAAGTTAATTTTAATTTATACTTTGAGGCATAAGTATTTTTAATTTATGTGATGAAGGTGCGTTGTTCATTTAGATTATAATTAATGCATTTAGGCAACTTAACATGCGTAAATAGTAAACACTTATAAAATGAAATTAATGTGCTTTTTATGTGTCTCTCTGAAAATATGCTAGAAATGTACATAGTGGTGCCAAACTTGTGTCCAGTTTGTAATATAGTCATTATGTTTCAAACTGTAGTTGTATTTTTGGAAAGGGAAAAATGCTGGGTTTTGACTTCTGGAAGGCGCTGTTTTGGCAGTTTTGCTAAGTTCTCTTTGATTCAGTCCTGCTGTCATCTAATCAGTGCTCAGAGATGTCAATGCTGTGTCAATATCACATGGAACTCTGACATAAAATGGCACTCAGCTTCAAAACACATCTATATATTAGGGCAGTGGGTGGGTATCAGGCTGGTCTGTATTATCTAATGCAACTCTTATCTTTCATATGAAGATATTTCAGGACCTTAGCCTTGATCTGTTCTCTCTGATTGTATTTTTTGTTATGTTCAAAGAGAATATGTGCAAAAACATGTTTTATGCTGAATTTTGTTTAGACTTGCTCAGGATGTTTGGAAGTTGGGTATACAGAATTTGAGTTATATATTTTAATGAAGATGTTAAGGTCTTTGGTACGATTTTAATATGAGCTTTCATCTTGAAGTGAGTCAAACTCAGACAGGCCCTGCAGGAATGGGTGGGAGCTGAGCAGCATTTCTTACATTCTACTAATACATAGAATAAGGGTATTTTTTAATTAAAAAAAATAATAAAGCAGTCAGTGCTAATCCAGCTAATGCCTTTCCTTCACTTTCTAGCCATTTCAGGCTAGAAGGTGTCTCAGGCTTTGCCTGCAGTAGTCTAATAATTCTGACATACATTCTCCTCTCTGCTAGCCTGTTTTTTTCTTTTCATTGAAGTTGTTCTTGTGACATTTCAGTGATATTTTTCCTGGCTAAAATCCATCACCTGTATTCTGTCATCATTCTTGAATGTTAGATTGTGGGACTGTCAGAAAAGACTTTCCTGAGCCTTTCCTTGGCCTGCCTTTCTTGCTTTTCCTCCTTCTTGTCACACACCGTCTTTCAGCAGCTTCTGGAGTGGGTCCTGTTTCCTTACAATCTTCCTGGAGCTCTATAGAGCAGACAGTGTCTTTTGGGGCTTTAGGCTTTCTTTTTTTAAAATCCTTTTCTTTTCTAAGGTGCTTCAAATTTTTATTTATACTGTCATTTTTTACACAGTTGACTGGGATCAGATATGCTTCTCACCTCTTATCCCCTTTCTGTTGGCTTATTCTGACTCTTAGAAGTCCACAAAGCACATATTGTCTGGTTGGTGTCCTACTATAGATGCCATCAGTATGTATCTTTTTCTTTCAGTCAAACCTATAAGGTGAAGGTTGTTGGTGACGTTTATCTATTGTGCAAAAGAGAATTTGTGTCCTGGACTTTACTGTTGTTTTCTC